TTTAAGAGATTTTTAAATGTTTTTTGCAAGTCTAGAAATTTTTTAATCCAGTACATCTGACACTTTCTTAGTCTCCCCAACTGTCTTTTGTAGCACGATATTTTGAAATGTCACGAATGACATTTTTACAACTAAATTTAAACATTTCCTTAAGAATTTTTCTTCTTTTGAAAATCAAGTCAATACATTTAACACTTTCTTTTTACTTCAAGCCAAAGTAATCCGAAGTAACCCGAAGTGGCCTAAAGTGACCTGAACCGACCTGAAACTACTCGAACTGACATAAACATTATTTTTTAAAATCTAAAATACACTTTACTAAATAAAAATGAAACTCTTCCTCAAATCCGATAGGATTTGACCACATCAGCTAGTTTATTAATCTATTAGATGCAAAAATAAAAAATAGTGTCAATGCTAGACCAATGACATACAGTTGTGGGTCCGATGTTACCCCCACTTACCCTTAGAATAGTTTTTTAGATAGACAATTTATCAATCTATTAGATGCAAAAATTAAAAATAATTAAATTTTTTAAGTTAATTAACTTTTAACAGACTTCTTAATTTATTAATCTTTACAAATGCAAATCACTAAAAAAATGCTACAGCTTTATATTCTGTACTTTCTTTTTTGCAGAAGTAAGAAAAAATTTGCTGTCTTAGTTTTTGTGTAATGAATTATTAAAAAGTGCATGTTTTCGTCCAAAAAACCGTCCTATTTCTAAAACTAAGCGAAATTGACTAAAAATTTAGCGTAAAAACATTGTTTTAAAAGGCTACATCCAAAAATGCAAAGAAACATATGGTGTTTCATTTAAAAAATCTCAAGTTTGTATTGTAACTTATATTTGAGACATGCTGTATGGTTGAAATAATTTTAAGTGATACACTAAATTAGTATCTATCAATGTCTTATACAGTTATTTTAATTTTAATTTTACCATTTAAAGGTCACTAATGGACTTTTCCACCTCGCTGGGACAGCTTGTATGTTTAAAAAATAATTATCTTGATGTCGAATTTTAAAGAAGACTAAAGTAGATTCAATCTTTCATTACAATACTGATATTTCGTTTAAATTATTGCAAAAACCGGATCGATGTAAGTGAATGTGAAATTGAAAGTGTAAAGCAAAAACATGAAGTCAAAATTGGTTAAAAAAAAATTTAATCTACAGATTTTCTCACTGACATATCAACGGTATTCTGTGATCAAATGAAGTTTTTTCAATGCGCGATTTAATGTTCCAGCGAGTTTCCGAGTTACTAGGTAATCTTATCTTACAAATCTGGCCAAGAAGATTGGTGGGTTTAGTCGATTTTGTGAAAAAAGCCGAAAATCCCGATACGTTAGAAAAAAAATTCTGCATTTTTAATACTTTTACAGGAAACTTGAAACCTAAATATATATATATATATATATTTTATTCAATTTTGACGTATTAAACCGTATTTATTAACTTCATGACAACCAAGGTAAACAATTGTTTATTCGGTAGAGTGAATTAAATTTTTTTTAACTCACTAGTGATTTAAAAAAAAATAATTCACTCTTTTTTAAAAATCAGATATATATGTAGAACTTGTTAGAACATTTATTTAGAATTAAAATAAAAATTACAATTATGCAAGTCACTAAAATTAAGCTTACATCCATCATTTATTAATGGATTGGATAATTCTCCATTAGTAATTCTTATGTTCTCTTTTTCATTAATTTCTGTAATACTGATACCACTTGTAGTGGCAACTTCAACAATTCTTTTTGCTTCCACTGTAACGCCAGAAGCTCCATCGCATACTTCACTTTCATTTTTTCCAAGAATTTTCTTTGAAATTTCTATTTTATTTGCAAGCGAATCCTCGATGTATCCCTCCGCAACTGAATTTGAGCGCCACCCGCCGTGTCTCTTTAATACAGTCAAGTCAGTGCCAGCGTCAGCAAAAAGTGTAGCTGACGAACGTCGAAAACTGTGTTCTGTATATGGTTCTGCATTCGAAAGACCCAGAAATCCAGCAATTTTTTGTGGCATCTTTGCGAAAGTGTTCAAACCCACAGGCTGCACGGTACATTTTTGATTTTGGTAATTCAAAAACAAACGCTTATGAGTAATTTTTTCTGGCCTTAAATCCTTGTACTTGCGAAACACGTCAATTGAATGGACGAGGTTAGCACCATCAACAATAGTAAAAACCCGTGGCTTGTATGTTTTTGTGTCTGGAATCTGGACGACTAGTACGTTTCCCTTGTCGTCAATATCATCAACAGACATGCTCACCAGCTCTCCAATTCTGCACCCCCCAGCAACACCCATGATAAAGACAACCTACAATAATAAATCTTGTTATTATCGTCATTTAAAAAAATCTGATCTATTACTTACTTTTAACAACAAAAATTCATCGTCAGGAGCAGTATCCAGAAACCTTTCAAGTTCTTCCCGTGTAAAAACCTTCGACTTCTTTGCCCTGTGTCCTACAGAATGCTGCTTCAAAAATGCTTTTACGTTATCGTCGCATATTTCTGACTTCGACATTTTTCACGAAAATGATTCACATTAAAATAATTGTTTATACCAAAATGGTTGCTAGGGAGGTGTTGCCACAACAACGTACCAACCACGACTGTCACAGACTTGATTTTTGTTGTCGTATTTTGCATAAATTCGTAATAATCCGTAAATTGAAGCTGAGTCTCGCAAAATTGAATAAAATATTGTATAAACTACGTGAGTTAAATGAATGTTTATTCACTTGAAGAATTAGCTCACTCGCGCTACGCGCTCTTGAGCTAAACTTTCTTCTCTTGAATAAACATTCATTTAACTCACTTAGTGTATAAATATCTATTGTGTGCATATCAATGTGTAATAATAATAATAACTATATTTATGTCCAACTTTTTACAAGTTTTACATACGTCACATCATGTATAAAAGATACAGAAACGAAAGAGAAGCGTAACTGCGTCATACTAAGGTTTCCAAATTAGTTTGGAAGTATTCGTCAAAATTATAAAATGCACCTCTAACTAATACATTTCTAATCCTTATTTTAAACTGCTCCATTTTAAGACTTTTAATATTGTCTGTCAAATAATTTAAAAAATTGATACCGGAGTTTCTATGAGCTGTTTGTGTTCGACTTAGACGGATATTGTTTAGAGACAAATAGTCCTTAGCCCGATTATCATATGTGTGAGCGTCACCCAGCTTATTAAACGAATGTATATGTCTTTTAATATACATCAAACTCTATAAATAAATAATAAAGAATAAGTAAGAATATTTAGTTCTTTATAAGCATTCCTACAATCTTCCCGATACAGTAGTGTCGCGATAATCCGTATCAATTAAAACAAGGCCAATCCGAATTATTGAATAATCCGGATTACCGAGTACAGAATTTCAGATTTAAAAACATAATGAACTACAGCTAATGAAGAAAAATTTATTGCTTATATAACATTGTATACAATTAATGAAGAAAAATTTATTGTTTATATAACATTGTTAGTCAATTTTGACAAAATAATTCGTAATTTTACTTTGACGGCTGTTGCCTTGTTCTTTTCGAATGCTTGTTCTTTAATCTTTGAAGTGTCATTATGTCCGTTAATGGCTCATCGTTTTCCGTTGCCCATTCTATTGCTATGTTCAAGCTTTTTACGGCATCTTCATTTTTTATTTTTGCTGAAGCAGCAGTTATTTCCGTCTCATCTTCTGTTTCGTAATCTATATTTTCTAAATCGTCAAAATCTTGAGTTYCAATAACATTGTTGTCGCCATCTATCCAGTCGACAACCTCCGCGGTGGTTATTTCACCACCGCCGACGTTCTGAAGCATTGCTGAAACTTCTTCAATTTGCTCTGCTGCTGAACGAAGTTTACTCTTTAATAGACTCAATGGAATTGTGTCCTCGGGGTCATCTTCTTTCTCCGTGGAATTATTATTGTTGGGTCTAAGAATATTTTTCCAGCACCGTTTCAATGTTTGGGCAGGTACCTTTTCCCAAGCATTATGAAGCAAACAAACAGCCGTCTTTAAGTTCAAATTTTTTAAACATTTAACCAAATTTTTTTCGTTGCTAGTTAAAATTTCAGCTAGAAGGCTTTTCTTATAGAAAAGTTTTATTACAGCTTTGATCCATAGGCTGAATCAAAGCTGTAGTGTTTGGGGGCAAAAATTTTACCAATAAATCGTCGTTACCTATTTCTTGTTCGCTGTAATGACTGCTGGCGTTATCTATAAGTAAAAGAGCTTTTTCTTGTGAATTTTGATTTCTAAGAAATTTTCTCACTTGCGGTATGAAACATTCATTAAACCATTCTTTAAAAACAACTCCGTTCATCCATGCCTTAGACGTAGCTTTGTAGTCCACAGGTAATAAAGCATCTTTAAATGATCTAGGTTTCTTTGCTTTACCGATGACTAGGAGTTTTAGTTTATGGCTACCATCAGAATTGCAGCATCCTAAAAACGTAATTCTTTCTTTACTCGTTTTCCTGCCAGGAGCTGTTTTTTCTGTGGATGCAACTAATGTAGTGTCGGGAAGTAGTTTCCAAAATAAGGCGGACACGGTTGCAAACCTAAATCTTTGATTGTTTTATCTAAATTTTCTATAAATGGCTGAACGGCTGTTTGGTCACCGGATAATTTTTTTCCACACACTTTAATACGCCTTATGCCGTATCTTTTTTTGAAGTTAGCAAGCCAACCCCTGCTAGCGTTGAAGTTCTGATTTCCATAATATTTTTCATAAAGTTGTTTAGCTTTTGCAGCCAAAAATTCGGATGAGACAGGCACGTGTCGATTGCGCAGTTCAAGAAACCAAGAATGTAATTTCTGTTCCATTAAAGGATATTCTACTTTACGTAAAGTCTTCCTTTTTCCAGGACCAGAAACACATTGAACAACAAATCTGAATAAAGTGAAAACGGTTTAAATTTCCATACTTACCCTTTTATTCTATTCGACTTTTTTTATGTCACTAATAGTAGATGTACCTACACCGTACTTTATAGCTAAGTTTTTTCCTGAAACACCACGATTTAAGGCGTCCACAATATCTGCTTTTTCCTTCAAAGTTAAGGTTTTGTGATTGCGTTTATTATTGGGTGCCATTTTTAACACTACAAGTGAAACTGCATTACGTCTAGACTAAACAAAAAACTGTACACACAGCAAAACAATACCTTTTGACTGAATTCGGATTATTGAATCTTAAAAAATCCGGATTACAACATACACAATGTGACCATCAGACCAGTCCGGATTACAGAAGCATCCGGATTAATGTGGATTCGGACTATCGCGACATTACTGTATTGCTGATTAGGTACTACTCCAACTGCCCGTCTTTGCATAGAAAATAACTTGTGTCTACATGACGCGTAACCCCAGGCCAGTATGCCGTAGCGAAGATGGCACTCAATAAGTGATAGATACGCTGACCTTAGCACATTTGCGGTCACTTGGGCCCGCCTTTTGCTAAGTTTGGTAGCCACAGTGTCACCATGTTGATTCCATAAAAGTTTATCGTCAATTTTAACACCTAAAAAATTTAGAGAATTAGAAATTGAAACATCTTGCGATTGTATATTTATAGAATTTTTAATAGTAAAAAGCATGTTAACACTTTTGGTTTTATTAAGGGATAGACCGTTGCTACACAGCCAATTTGAGGCCATCATCTGCGCCTTTTGGTTTTGAACCACTACTTCTCCTAAGTTTTTGTCTCTATTGCTTATAGTTGTATCGTCGGCAATTTTTATCGAGATGACGGGGAAAATCGTTTATGAATATTAAGAAAAGCTGTGGTCCCCAATACCGAACCTTGTGGAACCCCGTTTTCTACTGGAAGATCGCTCGATGTTGTGTGATTGAAATAAACTCTTTGAAAACGTTTGGTTAGAAATGACATCATTCTGCAACTATTGGGATGAATACTGTAGGCGTACAGTTTCCGTATAAGTGTCTCATGAGACACGCAGTCAAAAGCTTTAGTGAGATCGAGATATGAGGCAATCAGTTACTCGCCACTCTCAAAAGCATTTGCTACCTTTTCAGAAAATTCTAGCAGTGAATCACTGGTTGATCGCTTTTCGCGAAATTCAAATTGACTATCTATAAGAATATTGTTGGACTCAAAAAAATGGTCAGTTGATTTGCTGAAACCTTTTCTAGTAAGTACTTTAGAAAAAACCGGTAATATAGAGATTGGTCTATAATTATTCTTATCCTTTATGTCACCTTTTTTTGTGTATTGGTATAACAATACCTGTGTCTTAATCGTCGGGAAAACTGTGGTGATTTATGCATAGGTTTATTAGTTCAGTGAGCGGGCTTATAATTTGGTTCTTGACACTTTTTATGAGCTCAACGTTGAAACCGTTTATATTTTTGGCTTTGCTATTTTTTAAATTACTAATGATTTCTCTGACAGGACTCACAGATACTTCGGTAAAACAGAAGTAGTCACAGCTATTATCACAGATTTTTTCACACATTAAGTTTACAGGATCACACTTTGGACTAGACATGTTTTTTAGGATATCACAAGCAATGCCCGTAAAAAAGTTGTTAAAAGTACTCGCTTTTATTTCACATTCTTCCGTATTAGTTGCGGCTTTTGGTCTTTTACTATTTATTATTTGCCACATGGCTTTAGGTTTATTTATTGCACTATCTATAAAATTATTATTTGCTTCTAGTTTTGCTAGATTTATGCAAGCACGATAATGTTTTCTATATTTATTTCTATATTTCATATTAAGCTGTTACTTGTAGATTTATAAAAGTCATTTAAAAATAGCAAATTATTTGCTATAGTGGCTATTTAAACCATTTCACCGGTTTACATTTTGTATTGTTTATTATTGGAGTCTTTTCAGGAAAACTTGACTTAAACTTAGTATAGAAAATGTGGATAAATTGGTTGAATTTGAGATTTACATCATTATCACCAGAAGTTAATTTAACAACAATTTACATTTTTTAGACTATCAAACATACGTGCTTTTCCTAGTGTAGTTATAGGTCTCCACGGCAAACAAGAAGGTGGTTTTTTACATTGGTTCTTATCCGGTGCAACTTTAAACTTAACGTTTTTACCTACATGATCAGATATACACAAATTAACTGGCTTTACTTCAAATAAATTCTCATTTATGTTGGTAAAAACGTTGTTTATACCGTTGTTAAGTCTGGTAGGAAAATTCACTGTGTCTTTCAGACCATAGCTTGACATTCGGTTAGATAGTTGAGGAGTCTTTGCGTCTGGCTCAGTAAAAGACACATTGAAGTCTCCTACCATAATAACATTTTTTATACTTGGATTTAAACGCTCAAACACTTTAGCTAGTGACGTCAAAAAGTCGCAAAAATTTCCTGAAGGGTTTCTATACAGTATGTTATTGAAATGCGTTAAGAAAATTTAAACGGTGATAGAACTCATCAAATCAAATTACTTTGCTATTTACCATTTTTTCGAAAAATCTTTCTAAACCCAGATAAATTTTTAATTAGTTTGAACGTA